TASSAAYTGWSYRAGTTGAAGTCCAAAACACCTGGAGGGCCCAAGTTTGCCCATGTCTKGGRTAGACCTATAKYATRAGATGTCATTGAGATGAGACCCAAATCTAACACAGCATTCAGTGACATTTCATAGGACACTAGATATGGGTCAAGACCATAGGACACTATGTATGGGTCAAGTCCGGTTAGGACCAGAAGTGTTTGGGATTTGGGGTTTTCCCCATACTAATATTTATCCACATCACGAAAGAGCTTGGATGTGGGCTCCAAGTCTAAATACAAAATTCATTTGTGTTTCATAGACACCTTCCACAGGTCAATAATGCTTCTGTGTCATTGACTCCAGTGGTTGAGCTTCCAGGGGTTTTCACATTTTCAGATACCCGTATCTGCAATTACGGACATCAGGAGATGTCTTGGAGATGGGACACCAATCTAAACACAAAATTCATTTAGGTGTCATAGACACTACATACTCGTACAGGTCAACTCTCCCTTTTCCAAATGCTTGGGACTAGAAATATTTTGGAATGCTTGTTTTTGAACATATGTAAACAATAAGATATATGGAGACAGGATTCAAACCTAAACATGAAATTCAGTGATGTTTCATAGACAATGGAATTCAGATTTTGGCTACGTACCTCATGAGATATCTTGGAGTTTGAACCCAAGTCGAAACTTCATATGTTTCATAAACATATGAGTGTTCTTCATCAAAAACAGTTGGGATCAGTCATGTTTGGTATCTTTCGGGGGTTTTTGGAATACGTATTTGTCTAAACACAAAATTCAGGAATGTTTTATGGACACATTATTACGGGTGGAGTATTCCTTATCTAAAATCCTGGTAACCAGAAGAGTTTGGGATATTACGTATTTTCCAATACCTGTATTTGTCTATCTGTATCTTTGAGATTGGATTCAGGTTTAAACTATCTATGAAACATACAAAAGTCATGGAAAGGCAGAGTATTCCTTATCCAAAATGGTTGGGACCACATGTGTTTGGGGTTTTAGATTCCCCCCTGATCCTCCTTATAGGGGTGGAGTATTCCTTATCCAAAAGGATTAGAACCAAAAAGTTTAGGATCTGGAATACCTGTTTCTCAGTATGCTCACATATTGAGAAATCTTGGACATGGGATCCAAAGGTAAACACCAAATCCATGTATGTTTCAGAGACAGCTTGAGTTTTCCTTATCCAAAATGTTTAGAACCAGAGTTGTTTGGTATTAAAATTTTTGGAATTCCCGTATTTGTATCTTCGTCCCTCATGAGATCATAGAATCATAGAGTTGGAAGAGTCCTCATGGGCCATCCAGTCCAACCCTATTCTGCCAAGAAGCAGGAATATTGCATTCAAATCACCCCTGACAGATGGCCATCCAGCCTCTGTTTAAAAGCTTCCAAAGAAGGAGCCTCCACCACACTCCGGGGCAGAGAGTTCCACTGCTGAACAGTTCTCACAGTCAGGAAGTTCTTCCTCATGTTTGGATGGAATCTTTCTTGTAGTTTGGAGGGTGAGGGAGTGGTCCCGTTGCTTTCCAATGATACAGAAACTTTCCTTTGTGTGCAAAACAATTACAAATATTGTCTACTAGCTGTCCCCTGCCACACGTTGCTGTGGCCCACATGGGGGTTCTGTGTGTGAGGTTTGACCCAATTCTATCGTTGGTGGGTTTCAGAATGCTCTGTGATTCTTGGTGAACTATAAATCCCAGCAACTACAACTCCCAAATGACATGACTGTATTTTCCCCAAACACCACCAGTGTCCATGTTTGGGCATATTGAGTATTCGTATAGAGTTTGGTCCAGATACATCATTGTTTGAGTCCACAGTGATCTCTGGATGTAGGTGAACTACAACTCCAAAACCAAAGGACACTGCCCACCAAACCCATCCATTATTTTCCGTTGGTCATGGGAGAACTGTGTGCCAAGTTTGGTTCAATTCCATCGTTGGTGGGGTTCAGAATGCTCTTTGATTGTAGGTGGGCTATAAATCCCAGCAACTACAACTCCCAAATGACAAAAACAATGTTTTTTGAGTGAAGGACATGCATTGGGTTGTTAGGTGTCTTGTGTCCAAATTTGGTGTCAATTCGTCCAGTGGTTTTTGAGTTCTGTTAATCCCACAAACGAACATTACATTTTTATTTATATAGATTGGAGGACCTTTAGGTTATGTGCATAAGACATATACTAAACTTGGTCCCAGTCTCCAAGAGATCTCATTACGGACATATTGCAAAGACAAGGATGTCAAAGTCTGAGTAAATCCCAAACACCTCTGGCCCCAAGCATTTTGAATATTGAATACACAACCTGTACGTATATGTAATTGCATGCATCATACATACATAATGAGATATTTTGGAGATGGAAACTGAGTCTGAACACAAAATTCATGAGTGTATCATATACGCATAGCCTGGAGGTAATGGTATATGCATTATTGTAAACTATTTTGTACTTAATGTAATTTGGATATATTGAAAGATCAGAAAGCAAAGGGATCACACTCCCAGCCACCCAGAAGGAAAATTTGGAGCATTTTGGATTATGGAATTCTGGATTGGCAGCATTGTTGTTGATGTTGTTGTTGTTGTTTCCAACCAATAATGGGATTCAAGGTGGCTTGCAGCATAACAATACAAATGAAAAGCAATACAATATCCGGATTAAATGTGTAAATATAAGACTGGGAAAAAACAAAGTATCTGTGGAGTTAAAACATTAAACACATTAAAAATATTTAAATGCCTGAAAAGACTATATACAAACCCTTTAAAACAATGTTTCTCAACCTGGGGTCAGGACCCCTGGTAAGAGTCGTAAGGGGGTGTCATGGGTGTCACCAAAGACCTTCGGAAAACACTATTTTCTGTTGGTCATGGGGATTTTGAGTGGGACGTTTGGTCCAATTCTATCCTTGGTGGGGTTCAGAATGCTCTTTAATTGTAGGTGAACTATAAATCCCAGCAACTACAACTACCAAATGTCAAGGTCTATTTTCCCCAAACTCCACCAGTATTCACATTTGGACATATTGAGTATTTGTGCCAAGTTTGGTCCAAATCCTTCATTGTTTGATTCCACAATGTTCTCTGGATGTAGGTGAACTACAACTCCAAAACTCAAGGTCAATGCCCACTAAACCCTTCCAGTATTTTCTGTTGGTCATGGGAGTTCTGTGTGCCAAGTTTGGCCCAATTCTATCATTGGTGGAGTTCAGAATGCTCTTTGATTGTAGGTGAACTATAAATCCCAACAACTACAACTCCCAAATGTCAAGGTCTATTTCCATCTGTGTTCCTTTTAGGCATATTAAGTCTTTGTTCCAAGTTTGATCCAGATCCATCATTGTTTGAGTCCATAGTGCTCTCTGGATGTAGGTGAACTACAACTCCAACACTCAAGGTCAATGCCCACCAAACCCTTCCAGTATTTTCTCATGGTCATGGGAATTCTGTGTGCCAAGTTTGGCCCAATTCTATCATTGGTGGAGTTCAGAATGCTCTTTGATTGTAGGTGAACTATAAATCCCAGCAACTACAACTCCCAAATGACAAAATCAATCCCCGTCAACCCCACCAGTATTCAAATTTGGGTGTATTGGGTATTTGTGCCAAATTTGATCCAGTGAATGAAAATACATCCTGTATATCAGGTATTTACATTACGATTCGTAACAGTGGGACCTCTGAGGCTGTTAGGAATTGTAGGAGTTGAAGTCCAAAATACTTGAAGGACCAAAGTTTGTCCATGCCTGGTTTATGGCAACCCAATGCAGAAACCTCTGTCTGGTTTCCTTCGTGAGCCACATAGGGAGAAACAATTTGCATTCTGAAAGCAAATCCCTCTTCGGTTCGGGTTGCACTGCAAGATCTGGCTTGCTTTGTATCTGCGTCTCCCGGGGTGGAG